GTTCCAGAAAGGGAGTGGTGTGACCTTGGTCAACCTTGGATCTCCATTGGAAAAGAACTTGAGCAACAGACCGAATGGAGCGCGCTGAGGTGGGAGGCGGAGGTCCGAAAAGTGGTGCCCAACGCGGTGCTCTTCAACTCTGCTATCAGCGCTGCGGAGAAGGCGTCGGCCCGAGCTTCGGTTGCGGCGGTTGAGAGAGTCCTGCCAAACCAATAAGCCACGGGGTATGTCCCCGTTTCTCGGGGGATGGGGGGAGAACATTAGGAAATGGCACTTTGGGGGGAGCGAACCGGTCACAAGTAATGGGGCTTTGAACTGGGGGTAGGGTTGAACGGGGGATTTCAATAGTCTAGTGTGGGCATTTCTTCCAAAGTCCGACCTCAGGTTGTGGGGAGCTTGTCCTCAATTTGTGGGAGAGATGATGCGAGTGTGGGCTTTAATTTATGCAGTGTGGGAAGCTCGTCGATAGGCCCATTCTAAGCCTGCTGTTTCCCAATCCGGTTTAAACCTCACCCAAAGGGCCACCGATTCCTTACTCATTTAAGGTAGCCGGGTTTACCTCGCAATGTACTTGGACCCGCAGCTTGCTGTTTCTTGGAGCACGTCGCACAGATTGCACATGGAGTAGATATGTATACAGTATAATGCATATACATATATATATATATATATACCACATATATATATATATATACAACGTGTATATATATACATATGTATACAGTGTGTGTGTGTGTGTTTGTTAATATGGTCACAATATATTCTGACTGTGAATATTTGCATGTATAAAATGCATACAGTATACATGTATCTGTATATGTGATGCACTATTGCAGTACATATACACATGTATGCCTTTTACCGCATGCTTGTTTGCCCGTGCTGTTTGCAGTCAAGCAGTCGAGCCGCGAGGCCGGATGCTGGCAGGCAGGCCTGCAGCTCCTGGCAGCGACTAGGCAGAAAAGCGGAACTCCCGCTTGGCCCCAGCCCACGTCCCCCCATTCCTCCAATCTGAAAAACTTTTGGGCAGACAAGTTCATGGCTGGATAGGGGAGGGAGACCCGTCCTAGTTGGGCGAGTATGTCACTTGTCCTTCCAATCGGTAATGGAGCGATCGTACACCTCAAGTAGCATGAGGCATGCATTTGGGCTCGGCACACATGAATACGGAATACACATCCAAATGTGTTTTGGTTCTTGCAGTTGAAGCCATCTCATCTTGTTCAATCCATTGCTGCTGAGCCTGCAGGCCAAACCTTTGACACGAGTTTTTTTGACTGTTGTACACGTTTGCAGATGCAGCTACAAGACTCTATGCCAAATCGGCGGTAGATCAAGTTTTCAGATTGAGATTGGGGAGCGCTCCAGAAATGAATGTTGGTTTTCCTGATCGCTTTATCTTCACTTGCCAGGTCGCAAAAGCTATTTAGCGGAGGTGCTATAAAATCCTTGTCTTTAGGCAACATTTATTGTATGAGTACGTACCTTCAGGCTGCGAATGTTCATGCACCCGGAAGGGTCAACTTAGGAATGGGCAATTTTGCCAACCGTGACTTAACAAACATAGTGCTTAAAGGATTAGACTTGCCCCATGACGTTGTTTTGGACTGAATCGTTGCTACTTGAGAGTTGGTGGAATCAATGTAAGTGGATGTTATAGGCAGGAGGTTTGAGTGATGTTTGCCCCATAAGTGGATCATTAGGACTCTCACCAGGGTTACGTGCAGAGAAAGCATGCACTCTAAGCCTCGCCCATGTTTTGGGTGGGTTGAACATGGCATATAGTGGGCCACCGGTAAACCAACACATTTCTGTGCGGCGTTGAATCGGCGCGTTGGCCGATGTCCGAGGACATGGGGGAGGTGGCGGTGGCCCCCAGCGAGATCACGTACGGCGGTGCCGTCTTGGGCTGCGCCAAGTGCCAGCAGTGGGAAGCGGCCTGGGTTCTCCTGCAGCAGGAGCTTGGCTGATGCATCCTTATATAGAAACAAAAATCAAGTATCTCAACTACTTGGGTGTGTATGGTACATCCTACATGGTGGAAGTGCTACTTTTCAAGCCACAATCAAAAGCAGACAAAGGTTGGTCAGCCCTTTTGACTCTTTATTTCATATGCTTTTGCATAGAACCTGCAGACCCTTTCAATACCCAGCTTGAACTGTGACTCAATTGAAGTAATCGTTGACGTGGTTGACGGGTCCCTGGCTTGGGCGGAGGGTTCAGTGGTTTCAGGGGCAACAGCAAGAGTGCTTGCCTGCTTGCTTGCTCGCTCTTTGGCTGGTTGGCTGTTTGACTCTTTGGCGGCTGGCCTGCTTGCCGGCTTGCTGGTTTGCGCGCAGCGAGATATCGGATGACGGAGCCGCTACTGCTTAGCTGCTTAGCTGCTTAGCTGCTTACCTGCTTAGCTGCTTGGCTGCTTGGCTGCTTGGCTGCTCAGCTGCTGCTGCTGCTGCTGCTGCTGCTGCTGCTGCTGCTGATGTCCTCTTTTTGGTCATCATCGTTGAACAGGCATTGTCGGAAAATGCACACTTTTTGTTGTCGGTGCCGCCCCTTGCACTCGAGCAACCAACAACATGGAAGACAAGTGGAGGCCCTGGGAAGACATTTTTTGTCAAAGGGATGCGACAAGTCATGGCGTCCGAAATTTGAGGATCCGTTTTTGGATGGAAGAACCAAAAGAAAACGGGTGCTGCGCTTCGCTCAGGAGAAGGCGAGGGGCCTAAGTCCAACGCTGGCAACCTACGGGGCTGTGATCTCCGCTTGCGACCCATGGCTGGGTGTATGCGGTTGTGTCAAAAAGGGAGACGCTCAAACAAAGGTGGTGCTCCTTTCGGTTTCCTGAAAAACGAGTTTGTACGTCCACATGTGTGAATGCTTGCAGGGCAGTATGACTCCCTATATGGATTCATGAAAGTGACCACTATCATGGGGTCCCAAAATTACTTATGCGTTTGTTTTTCTTCCCTTTTTTTCTGTCACCCGTTATTTAACACAAAATTTGAGGATGCCACTTTAATGGCCCGGTATGAACAACTCACGAGCAGATCTCAGGAGCAGAGCGGGAAGCTGGGCGCACTGCTCGAATTTTTGCGCCTTGGCATCGCATGCTGCTCCCGAAGCTTTGCGCCATCCTGGCACTGGGTTTTGCCGGGGTTTGGTTGGGGCCTAACCTCGATTTTTGGTTGGTTGGCTGGTCGGTTGGTTGGAGCATCATCAGCTTCGCTTGGACCTAGGGCTGCCTATTGATGGCTAATTTGGTGGCATTTGGGACTTGCTCGGGGCTTGGTTAATTGCGGTAGGTTTTAGGCTGGGCGGGTCTGGAATGGTCTTGGAGCTGATGTTGCGCCAGGTGTGCAGGTGGTTTAGAAGCTCCTTTAACTCCTTTAGGGTTGCTTCAGGGTGCCGTTAAGTGAGTTTTGGGCTAGTTTCCGGGTCTTGGGGTCTTGGGGCAACGCTCGAAAACCAGAGGCGGATGTTGAGAGAGGCACTTTGATGGAGCCATTTGTAAATGGCAAGGTTTCATGATCAAAGTCAACCTTTTTGTTGAGGACGCGTGTGGAATCAGCCGTCATTTGTTTGGGTTAATTGCTGTGAGAATGTGCAGCGAGGTGCGCTAAGTCTCCTACCTTTGTATTTTCAATTCTTGAATGGCAGATGGAACAGGGTCCTTGTCTTGAGTTGATTCCATCTTCAAACAAGTCAAACAGTGGTGCAATAGCACTACACAACAAAACAAGGGTAATGACAATCAAAATATAAAACAACGCCCCGGCAGAACTTAGCTTCGTCGCAAGACCACATCAACTCTTCAGATTCCGTGCAGAGATTGAGAGTAATTCCTTTCCCACATTCTCAGGGTTCTTGTGAACGAGCTGGGATAGCCCTGTCGGGGGCCATCCAGGGAAGGCGACTAAGCCCGTCTTTGGAAAGGGATCGCTGTCAGGTGTGAACTGGAAGACACGGCGCTGGGATTGAGCACCCCATCTTAGATCCGCTCCAGTGGAGTGATGAGATGGATGCCCGTGCCGTTCATTGTAGGCTGTCCTTGGGTTCAGCTGGAATGGGTCGGCATCGCGCTGATGTCCTGAACACTGCAAGTGGAACTTTGAGCAACAATTAGGTGCAGATGTCCGATGTCCGCTTGCAGTGTTTAGGGACACCGGCGTTCCTTCAGCGGCTTTGCAATCAGTTGGAAAAGTGCTCTTGCCTCGCAAGCTGCTGCGCGAAACACTCCAGCCGAAGATTCCGTGGTAAATACATCCAGTGGCTGCTAAATCACAAGCAGGATCCCAAACATGGATTTAGAATGTTTGTTGATGGTGATTCATATTTACTTGATCAGGGCCTTTTGCGGTGATTGACAACTCCACCGCGAGGATTCTTGTCCGCGTCGATGTGTGACTGAAACTGCAGAGGTTGTCCTCCTTACCATGGCATAACTTGTTAGCCGTGGGTTGGTCTAAAGCTCCGTCATCTACTGATAGCTGTCCGGTGGGTCATCCACTGATAGTTGCCCGTTGGGCAAGACAAAACGTGTGTTGCCACGAGTGCACGATAGATTGCGGCAACGGTCAGCTTGAATAATTATGGCAGCGGTCTCGTTTCAATTTGTTCTGCTAAGGACATACCTCACTTTCAAACGCAATGACTAATAGGTTCTTTGCCCCATTTGCCTGCTGGCAAAAATGTGCCCGTCCATGGTGCAGGTCCCTTTCTATCTCCTGTTTGATGGAAGCACCCAGATCCTACCGAAATTCTGGGCATTGCCGTGTGGACCCACTTCAAGAAACACAACGAAACGGAGCGCCCTCTATTAAACTGTCGGACACTGTCGGCAGGCCTCCCTTTCAGGCAAAAGGAGGGGACCTGGAAGTGTGGTGACCCTGTTCAAGGGGATGCGATCTTCCTGTGGTGTCCTAGTGTTCCTGAAGAGGGTACTCTTTTAAGGTCGGTATAGCCAAACATATTCTTGGTCTATGCAGCCTATGCCCATCCTTCAGGCCAGGCAGCACGCGGAGATGGTCATTGATCGAGGGGCCGGGTTTCACAGGTTGTCGCAAACGGCCAACCACTGACTCGCGCCCTCGAGTCAAAGTCCCAGACCACATTGGCACCATTGTCTTTTTCTTTGCAGACTGGTCCCTTTCTAAATTCAACCAAACAGGTGCCCTTTGCTCCCATATCCACTGGAGCTCTGGCAACGGGTTGTGTTGGATCCACCTCAAAAGGGCACTCAAATTGAGTGGAAAGAGTGGGACAAGCGGTGAATTTCCTGGAGTTCGGCATCCATATGTTTTCCAGGAAAGTTTCGCAGCCGGGGTTTCAGCAACTTCTCGGGCTAAGTCTCAGCTGCCCCCCATTGGGCGGGGGGGGGGCAACGCCTGACACGGGCGATGTTGAACTCACCTTGAACCATCATCCAACCCAACTAGCGGGCAAATTGCTGTAATTCACGCACCTAAAATAAAGACTCCATTGGTTTCGCCCAGAAAGAGCTCGGTCGCATGGTGCACAAGGAATATGTTTGAGCTTGAGGCGTGGATGTGGCCACCCAGACTCTACTTGATAGTTTGCAAAACATTATTTTATACCCAGTCTCTTTGGGTGGCCAACAACAGTGTGTTCCTGGTGGTGCCCACTTATCGACTAGCTGACCTGCCACGCACAAGAGCAACTGCCGCAATTTTTCCAGCTTTTGCTGGGAGACTAAAAGCATGAGGCGCGTCAACGAGCGCACCAAACAGCCGCTGCGTACAGGCTCTTTTGCACGCCTAAGGTCAGGCCAACACGAGACCCGGGTGCCGAAGACGATTTCCTTCTTTGCATGCAATTTGCGCCGGGAGATGTCCGAAGTTACGATTGGGAAGCGTACGAACCACTGGTTGAGTGTTCAGCCTTGCTTCGGCTTAAGGGCCTTTTATGTTGCGTTGATTTGGAACCCTCAGCTGCCTCATCATATTGTTCATTGCACCAGGACTTTTGTTCAGCCCAACTTGCCACAGTCTCGTTCTTGAGTTCAGTTGCTGTGCATGGTCTCACTCTCAAAGTGCTTGTGGCGAGGGCTCCAACTTAGCCGCAGAGATTGAGACCGTCTCGGCCCCAGACACTGAAAGCTTTGGTCCTTGGACAAGCAACGGGTTTGCTTGATGCACAGCACGCGCATCCCCAATTGAACTACACCAAAGCCATCTTTTAGCAACATTGCTCAGTTGATGTGCATTTGGTGTTTGCTTCTCTTGCATACTGGTCTGGGGCAGGATATGCCAAGTTGCCAAGAATGCTCCACCTTGAACAATATGGTTTGTCTTTGTTTTACTTGATTTGGTGATGCAATGATGATGCTGCTGCTTTTGCTCCAGGATTTGTGCCCGAGGCGGCCACATCACGCGGTGTGCATCCGGCACTTTCCGTTTGTCTTCAGCTTTCAATCTATCTTGCCATCATGCGCGAGGCGATCTGCATCCACATTGGCCAGGAGTTTCGGCAGCGTGTTGAGCAGACTTTTAGGCACGTGTTTGTGTTGTTTTCCGCTGTCTGCTTTTCAAGAATTGACCTGGTGGTATCCTTGCAATGCATATTCCAGTCGCGCTTGTTGTGTATGGTTGTTTGGCACTGGCCTGTGCAACTGCAATTATCCACGCGGTAGTTGATTGCCTGAAACGACCTTGAGTATGAACTAACGTCCTTCGATTTGAAACCGTACCGCAGGGCGGCGTGCAAATTGGCAACGCCTGCTGGGAGCTGTTCTGCTTGGAGCATGGTATTCAGCCTGATGGTCAGATGCCGTCCGACAAGACGATTGGTGGTGGTGATGACGCACCGAGACTGAATCGCGCAGGGATTTTGTTGACTTCACATGTCCACCATACATGGGCGGCGTGTTTGTTACATCCTAACATGTGCTAAACTGGCTAAACTTGATTCTTAGCACACTTGGTTTCTATTAGGTTCGCAATGCTCCCTCTTCAAAGTGATGCGCAGGGGAGAAGCTCTTGGGAAGCTAGTCTTGCAGCTCTGCTGTCCATGTCTATTCCATGTTGCTTCAAATTTCGCGAGTAATTTGCGAAAAGGCGGCACTCGTGTGAATTATTGCCACTGTGAACCAAAACTAGGATCCGAGACTTCAAGTGGGTCCAACGCAAGGCAAAGAACAAGGTTCAGCCAATGGTGTACATATTATGAGGACATTGTTGGGTATGTGTTGCGCCTGACATGGTTTTCAACATGATTGCGACGGGTGCTGCTGTTTGTCGCACTGATTCATGCCGGGGAAAAACAAAAATAAACAACATGTGTGTTTGTTTGGTTGTACTGTTTGCACCTTGCGCGAGCTTGTGGAAAGGGAGATGCCAGGAAGGCCACTTTCTGGAGCTCCTGGGTTGGAACCCAGATGTTGATCTTGAAGCAACCGAGGGACTGCCACATAGAGGACATATCAAAGAAAGCATGCAAAGTTTCAATGGAGCCGAATGGACAAATTGCACTGTGTTGAGGCAACAGCAGGCTGGGACTGCCACACTAATCCGCCATGCAAGGGTTCTCTTGTGGACGCATCGGGAGATTAGGTAAAGCTTGTATTGGATTTTAGTTGTAACCAATTGATCGCGTCAAAAAGTTTAGTATTGCTCAGCATGAGCTTGCATAAGCCAATGTTAAACGCCTCTGACCACATAAATTACTTTACCTTCGCACCCGCAACGGTAGGCGACTTCAATCTGTTGCGCAAACCTCATGTGTTGCACAAAACAAGCATGTTGAGACGGTGTTCGAGAACGGGTGATGAAACGTCCAGAGCTGCTCACGTTCGCAACAGTGCTGGGGTTAGTTGAACCCACATCAGTTTTGTTTTCGCGTCTTCGTAGCAAAAGTGAGGTGGCCGGTTGTCTTGACTTGAAGCTGCCCACTTAGGCATTCAATACTTTTTTCAGCGAGACGGGAGCGGGCAAGCACGTGCCTCGTTGTGTGATGGTGGACTTGGAGCCGACTGTCATCGATGAAGTGCGCACCGGCACCTACCGTCAACTCTTTCACCCAGAGCAGCTTATTTCTGGCAAAGAAGATGCTGCGAACAATTTCGTGTCTTTGCCAGACTTAGTTACCATTTTGTGCCTCGGTTCCTTGGTGTATTGTTGTGATTTCACTCATCTTTGCAGTCTTCAATGGTTTCAGTCGTGTTTAGAGTAGCAAAGCAAGTGAAAGTTTGTAGCGCCAGCTCAATGTTTCTTAGTTCGTTGAGGCTCGGGGACACTACACGGTCGGCAAGGAGATCGTTGACCTGGTGTTGGACCGAGCCCCGCCCGAATTGACACTTGCAGTTCGGTTCCTTGCAGAACTTAGCCGCCAGCAACCCTCGATCCCTCCCCCGGGCACTGGTTCAACCAGTTTGCCAATTCACCCTGGAGGATGGACCCAGGACCGACGAGAAAATGGCGTCGGGAGCGTTCGTTCCATGCGCTGAAGTCACTTGGGGCCAAGTTGTGGCTATGGCCTGCGGGACTCCATGGTAAAAGGAAAACTCATTGTATGGAGAAACATCACCTTTTGAAGCGAACCCCAGCACAACCTGCTTTGAGCGCTTCTCGCCGCTACCCCTCCGCCATGGTGGCGCGTCCTTCATGGGCTGGCTGATGCTCGCTCCGGGTTGCAGATCTGGGCCCAACGCCTTAGATTACGCTGTTTTGTGGCGGGGAGATGTCCACATTTGTTTGTTGCGTGATGACGTTCGGCATGTACTTTTGTCCATGCTTGTACTGGAGATAAGACCAAGCAATGCTCGTTTCTGCGAGAGTGGAGCTGGTGGAATCGTCGAAGCATGTAGTGGGTGAGCATGGGATCGACCAGTCCGGGGCGGCTGTCGCGAGTGCGGAGAGGGGAGAGCTAGCTAATTGGGGGCTGCCCTTGGGGCTGAACATTATACCATTCCGGGGAGAAGGAGCAATTTCGGCTCTAGATGGGAGCCGCAGCCACGCAACCCCCGCAGCAGATCCCGATACGTCGTTGTTCCGGCTGTGGTTGGAAGCAGCCAGTCGCGTGGGTCAACGAGGTCCCCGAAGCCTGAGGCCTTGAAACACCTCCGTAAGCGTCGACTGGTAGAGTTCGAGCGATAGCGCACAAAAGCGTGGGCCATGCAGCTCAGAGCTGCCAACCATCGAGTGTGGCCATTTTTTGCGCCTGTCGCCTCTATACTTGTCGCAAACATCGTGCCGTCAAGCGAGCCAAGAACACACACCCGACCCAATCTTCTGTCAATACCGTTTTTGTTTTGCAGAAGCTGCCGACCTCGCGTCCTTGGAAGCTTGAGTTTCAGTGGGGGAAGGCAAACCAGGCGGCACTCGCAACTGCTGCCACTCCGAGAGATTTGATGTGAGGGCGGGGTAGGTACATGCCGACATGAAAGCTACTCGTGAATAAACGGGCAATCAATTCATGGTCGGCCATGTCGAGTCAAATGTGCAGGACAACAAGCAATTTTGCCAACAAGGTTTTTTAAGGAATGGCCAGAACCCCTGCTTCAGCAAGGTAGTTCGGCCGTCAGTGTTTTCAGACAATCGAATAAACGAAAATTACCCACCTCCCATGTCAAAATGGCAACGCTGCAGGCAGTCCGTGATTTGACTTATAAAGAAATTCGTTGAGCAGTGTCAACGAGGCAAGGTGTAAATTCCATTTAGCAAGCTACGCCAGGTCGGGAAGCAGCAGTTTGCAAAAGTTGTCGCCAACCGGTGTTTGCTTGATAGATGGTGTGTTTCTTGAAAGTTTTTCCAAGTTGTGATTGTGCACACTCGGTCAACTCAGGAATCCGCAAATTGGCCGATAACTGCACGGGCTTGCAGGGCTTCTGCGTGTACAACGCTGTAGGGGGCGGCACAGGGTCCGGGCTGGGCTGTTTGATGTTGGAGCGCTTGTCCGTGGACTACGGCAAAAAGAGCAAGATTTCATTTACGGTTTGGTCTTGCCCGCAAGTGGCAACTGCAGTGGTCGAGCCCTACAACACGGTGCTCTGCGTGCATTCGCTGCTGGAACACACGGATGTGACCATCATGTACGCTGCTGGGACGCGATTCATATCATATCGTCATAGATATGCACATGCATGCATGCATGCATACATCCATGCATATGTGCATGCGTAGTGCATGCGTGCATGCATACGTGCACACATCCTGCATACACATGGGAGTCGTCCGAAAGGTTCTTGTATTCAGGTATGAAGGGGATGACCTTTCTGTCTTGGTGTTGCCCTCCGTGAAAGCTTCGCGATGGAGGTCGCGCAAGTTTGTTTTGTTCATGAAAGTTTTGTGCAAGGATGGTTTGTTAAGATGTAATGATGAACCATTTGTTGGCAGCGCGCAGAATGCAGAAAGTAGACGGAATTTCGGTAATGTTTGGCGAAAGAGCCGCGGAAGTCGATGTGCCTTCCCGCCACGGGTGGCCAACGGGTCCCCTGTGCTGCTGCACTGCTTTCGAGCTGGGGCTGCGGACGTGCACTTTGTGTACTACTTTGGAACTTAAAAGTAGCGACTTTCCAGCTGGACTGCGCAATTTCAGTGTTACCTTTGCGATCAATGTTGCGAACATATCCCCACGAGAGATCCGTGATGGAGGCCGTGAAAGTATTTTTATCCGCGAGGATGGCGCCAGGAAATTCAGACAACAGCCATACACCAACATAGACACATGCACATATGCACACCGAGATACACACACACACGCACATGCGCGCACATACGCACAGATAAACACAGACAGACAGACAGCCAGCCAGCCAGACAGACAGACAGACAGACAGACAGACAGACAGACAGACAGACAGACAGACAGACAGACAGCAGGCAGGCAGACAGACAGATAGACAGACAGACAGACAGACGGACAGACGGACAGACGGACAAGCAGACCGACAGACAGACAGACAGACAGACAGACAGACAGACAGACAGACAGACAGACAGACACACAGACACACAGACACGCAAACACGCAAACACACAGCGACAGCGACACAGACACACAGACAGACAGAGACACAGACACACAGACACACGGACGCACACACACACACGGACACACGGACAGACGGACAGACAGAC